TGTGGGGAAGCCCAACCATTCCAGCTCCCACCAAGGGCTCAAACCCGGGTCTGGAAGCTGCCGCCTACAGCCAAACCAGCCGGCCAGAGCGCTGGACCAGCACCCACCTGGAGCACACATGCCCAATAGTAGCCCAAGTAGAGGGCAATAGCAAGAGCCAAGAGCAGAGAGAAGGTGTCTGCCCAGGTGCCATTCTGGGGGCTCAGGAAGGAGCTCAGCATCTTGTGTTGGGGGCTTCAGTCCCTCAGGCTCCTGACTGGCCCCGGCTCGCCAGCTGTGACTCGCGGGCCCGCCCGCCATAGGCGGCCTGTGCAGGTCCAGTCCCCACTGCCGGGCGGCCGTTCGCGCTGCCGGCCCCGCCCACTGCCGGTGCCCACGGCTGGGCGGTGAGAGGCGGCGCTAGGAGGTCTCGCGGCTGGGCGGCTGCGCCTGGTGCCTCGCGCGGATCTGACTCAAGTGGCCTGCGGTGGCCTCCCGCCCTCCCCCACCTCCTGCTTCCCCTCCGCGGTTCGTGGCGGTGCAGCCCGAGACACGCGGACTCCCCTAGCTGCCATCTTGGTGCGGGGCATCTCCAGCGCCCTGTTTCTTCCCGGGGGGCTCCCCGAGTCCAGCAGCCTGGCCAGAGTCCCTCACGCACTCGTAGTCTCACACACAGGACAAAGCCCTTCCGCGGTGACATTCTGCTCTGTCACACACTACAGCCATTCACAGTGACCCTCACCTGCAGGACGGCACTGTCCGTCCTGACACCACACACTGTCACATGGCTTTCAGCTGCTCAGTGGTGGCATTGCACACACATGCAGCTTCCTGCAGTGTCACTCTGCATATCATGCAGTTCCTGCCACACAGTCCTCGTACAGTAAATAATTTGCTCACGGTGTACCAGGCACTCCATACAGACTTCCCATGTTACTGTCCCTGTCTTCATTGGAATACAGGTTGTCTACTAGAGTGGTGGCTTTCAACCTTGACTGCAGATCAGAATCATCTGGGATTTTAAAAACTACCAGTGCCCAGCCCCTACCCCCGATAGAGTTGGTCTGGAGAGGAGCCTAGGTATCAATACACCGTAAAGCTTCTAGGAGGTCCACAAGTCATCAGGGCTTAATGGGGTCCACACAAGGGAAGTACTGGTGCCATGGGAGCACTGCGGGGGTGCCTGGACTTCACAGGAGGGTGTTATAGCAGAGGGGACAGCATAGGCAAAAGCCTGCAGGTGAAAGATGTCTTAAGGGAGCAGACAGAAATGTGGTGTGGCTAGAGCATGTGGGTGGCCAAGGACCAGCTTGTGAGCAGCTGCAGTTTATCCCAGGCCAGAGGAAAGCCATTCAAGGGTTTTAAGAAGGGAAGGGTGACATGAACTATGTTTTAGGAGAATCATTCAGTTGCTCAGAGAATAGATGGGAGGAGGAGGAAAGTAGGAGCAGATAGCCGTTGGGAGACTGCTAACAGAACCCCAGGCTCAAAAGATGCTGCCTGGAATGGAGGATACCCAGGAGAGGAGCGAACATCTTCAAGATCGGAGGCAGAATTGATAGGACCTGGTAGTAGGTTGGAGGTAGGGGGAGAAGGAGGAACGTGGATGACCCCCAGGTTTCTGATTGCACAGATACAGAGTCCATCCTTGGGATAGGGAAACAGAGGAGAGGAAGGTTTGAAGAGGAAGGTGATGCATTTAGACACAGGCATGTAGAGGTTGGAGTGCTGGTAGGTGTTTTAACTATGTTTTCTTAGGTTCTGTATTTGTCTATTTGGCATCCATAAATCACAGGTCCAGCCTAATGGCCAAAGTTGTTTACATCTCCCCTGCGATCCAGAGCTCATACTCTGAGCCACGTCCTTTCTCTAACTTTCATACTCCAAGCCAGTATCTCCCCTGCCCTAAATCAACTCAGGACCAGGTAACTAGGACCAGTCCTTGGGCCCCAGAGTGCTCTGAAATTATTCAAACTAGCCAGTCCCAAACTGCTTCTCCTGTCTTTCCTGTGCAAACCCCAATAAAGACCTGTACCTTCCCCTCCCTCCTTTCTGCCTCCTGAGTGACACTGGTACTTCCCCCTGTGACCGTGCCTCTTGTTTCTAGAGGAACTGTGAATAACATTAAGCTTTTCTTTCAAAGGCACTGACCTCTTCATGTCCTCACTCAGCCACCTTTATAAATTAAGACTCAAGCACAAATTGGTAGGATATTCAATGTCCGAAGTGGTCTGGAGCTTAGAGATTGGAGCTGGAGATTTGGTAGTCATAGGCATTTAGATGGCGTGTTAGCTGGCAGCTTTGCTGTAAGAAAGCAGTACAAACTGGGTGTCTTAAACCAGGGGTCTCCAACCCCTTGGCCTGCAAATTGGTACTGGCCCATGACCTGTTAGGAACCAGGTGGCACAGCAAGAGGTGAGCAGGGTGAATGAGCATTACTGCTGGAGATCAGTGGTGGAATTAGATTCTCATAGGAGCACAAACCCTATGATGAACTGCACAAGAAAAGGACCTAGGTTGTGTGCTTCTTATTAGAATCGAATGCCTGATGACCTGAGGTGGAAGTTTTATCCCCAAATCATCCCCCCAACCCCCAATCCTTCCGATCTGTGGAAAGACTGTTTTCTCTGAGGCCAGGCACTATGGCTCACACCTGTAATCCCAGCACTTTGAGAGGCCAGTGCAGGTGGATCACCTGAGGTCAGGAGTTTGAGACCAGCCTGGTCAGCATGGTGGAACCTTGTTCCTACCAAAAAAAATACAAAAAACCCACAAAATTAGCTGGACCTGGTGGCACACACCTGTAATCCCAGCTACTCAGGAGGCTGAGGCAGCAGAATCACTTGAACCTGGGAGCCAGAGGTTGCAGTGAGCTGAGATGGCACCACTGCACTCCAGCTAGGGTGACAGAGTAAGACTCCATCTCAAAAAAAAAAAAAAAAAAAGATTGTCTTTTTTGAAACTGGTCCCTGGTGCCAAAAAGGTTGGGGACCACTGTCTTTTTTTTTCTTCTTTTGTACATTTCCTTCTTGAATTATGGGACCACTGTCTTAAACAACAGAGATTTATTGTCTCACACTTCTGGAGACTAGAAGTCAAGATCGAAATATCAGCAGGGTGGGTTTGTTCTGGGGGCTGTGAGGAATGATCTGATCCATGCCTCTCCCCTGGCTTCTGGTGTTCTGCTGGAAATCTTTGGCTCTCCCTGCCTGGTGGAAGCATCACCCTGATCTCCATCTTCATCTTCACAAACATCTTAGAGTGTTTATGCTGCTATGATAAAATACCACAGGCTGGGTAATTTATAAAAAACAGAAATTTATTCCCTTCAGTTCCAGAGACTGGGAGGTCCAAGATCCAGGCACTGGCAGGTTCAGTGTCTGTGAAGGTCTGTTCCTCAGAGATGATGCATCTGGGTTTCCTCACATGACAGAAGGAACAGAAAGTCAAGAGAGCAAGAGGGGTGAACGCTCTCAGAAACCTCTTTTATAAGGCCGTTAATCTATTCATGAGGGAAGAGCCCTTAATCTATTCATGAGGGAAGAGCCCTCATGACTTAATCATGTCCCAAAAGGCCCTACTTCTTTTTGTTTTTTTCAGAGGCAGGATATCTCTCTGTCACCAAGGTTGGGAGTGCAGTTTCGGGATCACAGCTCACTGTAACCTCAAATTCCTGGACTCAAGGGAACTGCCTGCCTCGGTCTCCCAAATAGCTGGGACTACAGGCATGCACCACCATGCCTGACTAATTTTTATTTATTTATTTTTTGTAGGTATATAGTCTCACCATGTTGCCTGGATTGATCGAAAACTCCTGGCTTCAAGAGATCCTCTCACTTCAGCCTCCCAAAGTGCTGGGATTACAGGTGTGAGCCACTTCCTCCTCTAATACCACTACAGTGGGTACTAAGTTTCAGCACATGAATTTGGGGGGATATTCCACAGTGGGTACTAAGTTTCAGCACATGCATTTGGGGGGATATTCAGGCCACAGCAATGTTTTTCCTATGTGTGTGTGTCCACATTTCCTCTTTTCATATGAACACCAGTCCTATTGATTAGGGGCCACCCTACTCCAGTATGACCTCATCTTCATGAATCACATCTGCAGTAACCCTATTTCCAAATAAAGTCACAGTCCGAGGTATTGGAAGTTAGGACTTCAACATATAACGTTATGAAGGACATTGAGTCAATGCAGGACAGATAGTGATGGCAGCTAAGTGAGCAGATGAGCACATGAGCAGATGGAGAGTGAGGAGAGGGCCCTGAGGAACTCTGACGCTGAAGAAAACGGAGACCTTTATGAAATGACCAGAGAAATAGGAGAGGTCTTGCTGAAACCAGCGGAATCCATGATGTAAAGAGGTAGTGACTAGCGGTGTTCGCCACTGGGAGGAGGACAGGATGAGAGTGGGCTTGTCTCAGTGACGGATTCTGTGATGGAGTGTCACAAACAACTCAGGAAGAGTTCACCCTGACACCACAATACATATGCCTCTAATACTCTGCACTGCCACACCCCTGCCACACATTGGCCATACCCTGAAGCCCATGCTGTCACACCTATGCACAGTCACTCAAAATACCCCCTACCGTGTCACAAATTCCTCATACCCACAGCCACACACGCCAGCCACAACCACACATGCTAACAGTAAGTTAGATTCTATTTTGTCACATACATCTGGGTCCCTCAGGCAGAGAAACTGGCAACCAAAGCATGATCACAGTTAAACATACTTCTCATGCACACTGGCCACACTGTCTCAGTCTGTCTGTCTCTATAGGTGTACCTGTTTGTGATGAACACATGCACACACTCAGCCTCACCATCTGTCTTACACCCACAGGTGTGCACACGCACACGCACACATCCACACACACATGCACGCTCACACACTCACAATGTCACACGCGTGTGCACATGCGCACTCGCGCACACGCACTCACACAAGCGCACTCACGCGCACACACGGACTCGCACACGCCCACATGCGCACTCACGCACTCGCACACACGCGCACTCACACGCACACGCGCGCACGCAACCCCTCCCGCCGCGGGCGCGGGGAGGGCGCTGGTGGAGCTGCGGAAGGCCAAGTCCGGCAGGCGGGCCGGCGTGGCGGCGGCTGGCACTGGCTCCGGACTCTGCCCGGCTAGGGCGGCGGCTCCAGCTGGAAGGGCGACGTGGAGCGGCCACGTGGAGCGGCCCGGGAGCGCCCTCCGAGCTGGACCCTCAGCGCCGCGGCGCCGCAGCAGGTGGGTGGGACCCCGCCCTGGCCGGCAGTAGACCCGAGCCCATCACCGCCAGCCACCTGGAGCTGCGCGAGGGAGGTGGCCTCCAGCCTGTGCAGATCCTGAGAGCGCAGCCCCTCTGCATCCCCTGCGGCTCAGACGTGGCGGGAGCGGTGGCCCTCGTCCTTGGGTCCCCTGAGAGCAGGTGAAGGAAGGGACTGGAGAGCGAGCCTGAGGCCCCTTGGTGTAACGTGGGGGATTCACAGTTCCCCAGGCACTTCCCCCAGCCCAGCATACCGGTTCCAGCAGCCCTGGGGGAGGGACAGCTGGTGGGAGCCTCCTCCTATCCGACGGGGAAGAAATGGAGCGCTGGGGAGGGCCTGAGGCTGTCGTCTCCCTGGAAGTGACGGGAGGAGGGGGCACCTCCTGGGTATGGGCTTCTGTAGCCCTGTAGCCACTGGCTCCTTTCTTGGGGTATGGGGGCTGGGAGGCACAGGGGCACCAGAGGGATAAAGTAAGGGAGAGGATTCCACTCAAAATTTTAACTTCCCGGCAGTTAGACTCCACAGGAGATGGAAGTGCCTGCCTGTGAGGTGCTAGATTGCTGTCCTGGAATGATTCAAGCAGAGGCCATTTGACAGGGTTGTTGTGGAATAAATTTTTGCACTGGATGGGAAGTTACCCAAGATAATCCGGCAAGGCCCCTGCCGCAGCCCAGAGGCTCTGAAATACCCAAGCAGCACCTGCTTGGTGCCAGCCGCCTACCCTAGGTTTTCTCATTGCAGCCTCCGCAAACCTTTAAGAGACAGATACTGTTATCTTTGTTTTTAAAATGCAGATCCCAGGGCTCAGAGAGGTTAAGACAGCTGCCTAGGTCCCACAGTGAGCAGTATCAGAGGCAGGATTTGATCAGAGGTCTAACCTTCAGGGCATGCTCTCCTCCCATGCACTGGTGCAAAGGCTTGAAGAACAGTGGGGCCGGAGGGTCACTGTGAATGTGTGAGTGTGTGCGTGTGGTACATAACTTTATTAAATTACATGGCAAATGTTAACAGTTATGGTGGCTTTCATGTGTTTATTAGGGTAATTATGTTCATGCCCATTATAGTTCTAGAAAATAGGGACATTTTTATTTGACAGGCAGTGATTCAATAACTGTTTTATTTCTCTCACTTATAAAAGCTTTTGTTAATGCTTAGAAATGTCTAAGTGTGAACACATAACATTAACCTCATTACACATTACATGAGGTGCCTTAGCCTTTCCTTAAACAATTGAGGTGGGTTACTTGTACTAAAATGTCACAGTTGCAAGCATTATTTAAGAGAATATTGGCTGAGCACAGTTGCTCATGCCTGTAATCCCAGCACTTTGGGAGGCTGAGGTGGGCAGATCACCTGAGCTCAGGAGTTCAAGACCAGCCTGGCCAAGATAGCAAAACCCCATCTCTACTAAAAATACAAAAATTAGCGGGGCATGGTGGCGCATGCCTGTAATCCCAGCTTCTCGGGAGGCTGAGGCAGGAAAATCACTTGAACTCAGGAGGTGGAGGTTATGGTGAGCCAAGATTGCACCACTGCACTCCAGCCTGGGCAGCAGAGTAAGATTCTATCTAAAAAAAAAAAAAAATATATATATATATATATATACTGAAAGTCCACATCATTTACTTTTTTTCTGAGACAGAGTCTTGCTCTGTCACCCAGGTTGGAGTATAGTGGCACAATCTTGGCTCACTGCAACCTCCACCCCCTGGGTTCAAGCAATTCTTGTGCCTCAGCCTCCCACGTAGCTGGGATTACAGGTGTGTGCCACTGTGCCTGGCTAATTTTTGTATTTTGAGTAGAGATGGGTTTCACCATGTTTGCCAGGCTGGTCTGGAACTCCTGACCTCAGGTGATCCATCCACCTTGGCCTCCTGAAGTGCTGGGATTACAGGCGTAAGCCACTGCGCTTGGCCTTCTTTTTTTTTTTTGATGGCATCTTGCTGTCATGCAGGCTGGGGTGCAGTGGTGTAATTATAGCTCACTGCAGGCTTGAACCCCTGGGCTCAAGTGACCTCTTGCATCAGCCTCCCAAGTAGCTGGGATCATAGATATGAGACACCATACTGTCTAATTAAAAAACAATTTTTATTTTTTTAGTAGGGATGGAGTCTCATTCTGCTACTCAGGCTAGTCTCGAACTCCTGGCTTCAAGCAATCCTTTTGCCTTGGCCTTGCAAAGTGCTGGGATTACAGGCATGAGCCATTGTACTCAGCTCAATTACTTGCATTTTTGAGGTGGACTACCACCGAATGTGAAGGTTGTCAGGAGGGCTCAGGACATTCCAGATTGAGGATGGAACAGGCTGGGCAAAAGCACTGCAAAATGAAAGCGGAAAGTATTTTAGGAGACTCCAATAACCCCTTCCTTTGAAGCAGAGTGCTATCACTATCATAATGCAGCACTGGAAGATGAGTCAACAGTAATTTGATAACTGATTGTGGAAGGCCTTGAATGCCCAGGTGAAGATTCTGGACGCTAATAGAAATAGGGAACCATTAAATGTTCTAGAGCAGTAGAATTCTAGCAAAGGAGGATTTATTTGATGTGGGTATGGAGGGTTCTTTAAGTGGAGAAGACACTAGAGACAAGATAACACTAAAAGGCTTCTATATTAGTTTGTGCAAGAAGTGATTCATTGCCCATTTAATATTCACTGTAACCCTGTGAGGTAAATATCATCTCCAGTATGCAGATAAGATAACTGAAGTTTAGTGAGAATAGTTAATTTACCCAAGGTCACAGGGACAGTCAGTGGTGGAGCATGGGTTTGAAACTAGGTCTGGCTGGTTTCAAAGCTCTGTTTTCTGTCTGTTAAACACACTGAAGAGTTACATATGTGAAGGGTGCATAGGACCACGAGGAGGAGAGTGATTGTAATTCAGGGGTAGGGCTCAGGACCGGGTTGATAATTTGCAGGGCTGGGTGCAAAAATGATGGAGTTTCAAGATGGTGACAACAGAATGTTAGCCTAAGCACAGGGCCCCTCTGAGAGCGGGGGACTTGGGATGCACAGGTCGCATACCTGTGAAGCCAGCCCTTACATGGTTGGTCTTCCAATTGCTATGGCAGTTTAACAAACCACCTCAAAATGTAGCGGCTTAAAAGGATGATAGGCTGGGCGTGGTAGCTCATGCCTATAATCCCAGTGCTTTGGAAAGCAGAGGAAGGAGGATTGCTTGAGCCCAGGAGTTTCAGATCAGCCTGAGCAACATTGTGAGTTCCTGTCTGAAAAAAGATAACATTCATATTGACTTTGCACATGAGTGCAGTCTGGGCAGGGCTGTGGAGACAAGGCACATTTCTACTGCATTCATTGTTGGCTGGGGCAGCTCAGAGACTGGGGATTGGAATCATCTGGAGCTTTGCTCTCTCACCTGTCTGATTGTTGGGCTGGGAATATTTGAGCTGGAGGCTTCTCGGGCATCTGTTTCTAGGTGGGTTCTCCACATGGTCTCTTCTGTAGGGTGGGTTCAGGGATGCTGAGCTCCTTCCATGGTGGCTCAGGCTTCCAGAGGTGCATGTCTGTGTGTCAGGTGAGGGGAGAACCAGAACCAGGCATAAGCTAGGTCACTTTTATGATCCAGACTTGGAAGTCATGTAAGCATCATTTCAGCAACTCATTAGAAGCCAGTCACTAAGTCCAGATCATACACAAGAGGAGGCGAGTTAGATTCCAGGTTTTGTGGGAAAGAATGTCAAAGAATGTGTACATACTTTTTTTTTTTTTTTTTTTTTTTGAGACGGAGTTTCACTCATGTTACCCAGGCTGGAGTGCAATGGCGCGATCTCGGCTCACCGCAACCTCCGCCTCCTGGGTTCAGGCAATTCTCCTGCCTCAGCCTCCTGAGTAGCTAGGATTACAGGCACGCACCACCATGCCCAGCTAATGTTTTTGTATTTTTAGTAGAGATGGGGTTTCACCATTTTGACTAGGATGGTCTCGATCTCTTGACCTCGTGATCCACCCGCCTCGGCCTCCCAAAGTGCTGGGATTACAGGCTTGAGCCACCGCGCCCGGCCTAAAAAATAAATTTTTAAAAAAGTAGCCAAGCATGGTGACACACACCTGTAGTCCCAGCTACTCTGGAGGGTGAGGCAGGCGGGTCTCTTGAGTCCAAGACATGAGGTGGCAGTGAGCCATGATTGCTCCACTGCACTCCAGCCTAGGTCACAGGGCAGGATCCTATCTAAAAAAAAAAACAACAAAAAACAAAAAACGGAGTATACTTGCATACCCTTTACCTAAGTGCATCAATTTTTAACTGGCAGGAAGTCACACTGTGGCCACAAAGACCCACAAGTGCATGAGTGACCCAGGCAGGAGAGAATGGGGAAGAGCAGCCGGGCTGTGCCCGTGGCGTGTAGCAGAGTCAGGGGTAATGGTGTTTTAGATCAGCCAGGCATGGCGAGGATTCACAGCGTGGGTTTGTGGACGTGGAGAGGAGTGGATTTCATATGCTCTCTTCTGCAGCAGCCAGGAACTGAAAGAAGCTTTGTT